TTTTATTGTATTAATGAATCAATGAATAGTCGATACTATTGGGCTTCCGCAATAGTCATTCTAGGGCTTTATTAGTAGTTGAATCAAAAAATTCACATCATTATCAAATTTAAATTAAAAAATTTTCATCGGACATCAAAGTCTTTTTTAAATTTGAAAAATTTATCTTTCTTTGAACCTACCATCTATTATTTCTTCTTTAGATCAATTTGACATTTAATCATAAGTTATATCTTGTACATGTGAGTTACTAACCCCTCTTTTCAAAATTCTAAGCTATAAAATGTATTTCATTCATAATCGATTTATATTTTAAGAAGGTTGAAGATTATATGCAAAGACTCTAAATAAGTACTCTATATATATAGTAAGGTTAATTGCTATGTATTACTTGTCAGCAAAGGATTTTCTGGTTTTTTAATATTCAAATTTTTGTCTTAGAGTTTAGGCTTTTGATCTAAATAATATCTTAAGAAATTATTTATGACATTTGATTTATTGTTTATTGGACATATGAGAATAATACAGCAATACATTTGAGTTGAATACTAAATTTAAAATAAAATAAACCGGCCTAGAATGTAAAACAATTGAAATTGCAAATTAATCTTAAGTATTTTGACAATTAAACTGAAATAATATGAAAATATCTGAAAAATGAAGTTTTAAGGTTCTATAGATTTAATAGTATCAAATAATACCAAAAGCTTCATGATGATTTCAAAAAATTTTCAATGAACTTTATTCCTTAGTAATTACCAATCTTAGATCTAAAAATGTAAGTTTGTAGATCGTCTGTGCTTTTTGTAATTATTTTGTAAGTCATATTCATTAAAATTGGTCTCTCTAACTTGTGTATTTAGTAATTTATAAATTGTTTTATGACTTCTAGTTTCTATACTTCTTCCGAGCTTTGATTAGGATTTTCTTATTTACTTTATACTTATGATATTGAAATTGCTCTCATATGAAGCATCTCACATTTAATTTCACATCATCCAATTGATTAAACAAAAATTCTTCTTAATCTATAAAACAGCAAAAAGCTATATCATAAGTTTGTATCATATTTCTCAAATCCTTATATTACGAAATGCTTTGATTTTAGTTCGGTGTGAAAGATTATTAGAAATTGATTAAATAAATGATAAATATGAAGAAAGTATTTTAAGAATTTTTCTGTAATTTTTTAATAGAAATAGAGAAATGAAAATAAAAAATGTTAATAATAAAATAAATGAATAGTGAATAGATTGTTGTGTAATATAAGAATAAAGTAGAAGAATGTCTTTAAGGTTTTTAATAAGATTTAGATGTAAGTTATTGAATAATATTAAATGATTAGTGCTCTTACAACAGAATTGATGCTTATCTAGATTAACTTCTTCTTGATCCTTATCCATCTGTTCCAATAAAGAATCTTAATTTGGCCCTACCAATTGTATAAATATCTATACCTTCCATATAACCATTACATAATTAATTAATTCAAGAACTCAAACCTATAATCAATTCGACTATTCATAAACAAATCAAATTAAAATAACAAAACATAGATTAACTTTAATAATAACTAATTTTATTATAAAATAAACCAATATAACAAGACAATCAAATTATATAACATAATCATCATTAATCCAATCTTAAACCATTTAATTATAATTTAATATAGAATAATTCAATTTAATAAA